CCCCCCCCCCCCCCCCCCCCCTCCCCGATTATCAGAGGTAAGTGACCTGAGCTGTCCGGTGTGGAGGTCTGAGGTGGGTGGGTGGGTGGTGGTGGTGGTGGCGCGCTCTGGGGGCTCTATAGGTTCCGTCGCGCCTTTATGGGATCAATTGTATCTGACTGTATCTAACAATTGTCTCTGAGGACATGAAGGATTGAAGTTGTGCGATCTGGTTAAGATGAACAATAGCGAGCTGATCTGTAATAACTCGCATCTTGGCTTTACTGTATAGGTTTCATTGTATAATTCTCAATTTCATACTGCGTAGCTCGCAGACACGCACAAACAAGCAGCCCTCAGCTGTCCGGAGCAAGAGGCGCTTCACCATCCATCCATTGATTGGATATTGACAAGGCTCAGATCGTGTGATTAAAAACATGGCTGGCAGTTTATTTGTATTGGCCAAGATCATTTGTGGACATTCATGGTGACAGCTATAGTACTGTCATCAGTGTCACTCACCCACTTTAATCAAACCGGGTTTGCACAAGGAGCTTGTTTCATTTGAGAAATGTGGGACTTTCCTTGTTGTGTCAGGAGGAATTTTGCCCTTTTGACATTACAGTTGTTTTAAAGGGTAATTACAAAATCCAATGTTCTAATCCAGTGAGTTGCAGAACTGTAGAAGCAGAGACTGCATAGTATGTTCACCGTGGGATTGGTAAAAAATGTGCCCCTCTCTTAATGTCTTTCTCCCTGTTTGCATCGTGTGTTGTGTGATTGCATGTTACCTGCTAGCGGTTGTGTACGTTCTACAGTCCTACCCGCTGGGCCCCTGGTGTCCAATGCTCCTGCCTTCAGGCTCTGCCATCCCTCCCTCCCCTCTCCCTCTGCAGTAGCTGCTATCTTTACAGTACATTGAGCTAGTTGGCTGGATAATGTCAGAATCACATTTTTTTTTTTGCTTTTCCTGCGCGGACCACTGACTCTCAATAGCTGCCTCCAAGTCTTCTAAAGTTTCTCCATTTTGGAGCTGCGTGTTTTCGTTGTCGCCCCTGTTTCAAATTCAAATTTCCTTTCAGCTGCCTTTTGTCCATCGGCGAGGTTTGTGGACTGGAAAGAGAGACAGAGAAGTAAGTGAAGGCCCTGAGGGTCAGAGCATTCCTATAATGAGCCCGAGTGTGTGTGTGTGTGTGTGTGGGGGGGGTCGGGGGGGAAGAGAGGAGAGCAGGAGGACAGTGAAAGACACATCCAAAGAAAGTGAGACACTGCTCCTTGTCCAGTGCAAAGGTAGAGACAGCCAAGGGGAATACCAGCCCCTCCACTAACCTTTCTGTCGCTCTGACTGTGTCAATCAGCCTTGGTTGGAGGACAAGAGCCTCTTTAATTCCCCTTCCTCTGGGCTGTCACCCACTCTGACAGCCAGAGCTCAGAGGTGCTGCCACAGGTTACACACAGATCCTTCCACCCTGCTGCTCAGATGCTACTACAGCGCTCTTCTTCTTTTCTTTTTTACGGAAACAATAGTGCAAACAAGGGACAGAAAGTAGGCGGTGGAGGGGAACAAGTTAAGATGAAACATGAAGGGAAAGACGGTCATACACTAATCATCTGAGTGTTGCAGCTTCTTCGGCACGACAGAGGAACAGTGGTGCCCTCTTCTCTCATGTGCTGACATCCTCTTGTAGACCCATCACGCCACCAGTAATTACCGGAGAAGTGCTATCATAGGGAATTAATTAATAGACAACAGAGGAAATACCTGTCTGATACGATCTCTGATCTTCTTCTTGCACCGGATCTAGTTTCTGTTTGTTCAGGGGCAAAACACTTTGTGCGGAGTCGAGACTAGAATAGCTTTGCTGGTGCTTCACGTGTTGAAGGGAAAATCTACCCAGAAATAAATCGTGTATGTGTTCTTCTCACCGAGTGCAACGTAAGATTGTCAATAAGACCCGGCAAGAAAGAAAATTAAGAAAAGGCAGACCTTGGAGCTGCTGCGCTCTAATTTTTACCTTAAGTCACAGTCTGTAACCACTACAAATATTAGCACTTAGTCCAGATTTGACCCTCTAATAGTGTTGTTATAGTTACTGTAGCTGAAGGATTTTATAGTAAGCTTGCTCAAAAGAGTTGAATTTCTCCCTGCAGGCAGAGGTGAAGGGATAAATGTTTTCTCAGTTATAATATAAATAACCAAACTGTAGGAAGCCTCACTCCTGCCAAAAGAAATGACTCAGTGGGGGGGGGCAAGATTGCACAGACATATGCAAGGCAAACATAAGGCAAGCAATCGAAGGAAGGAACAGTGTACCTGATTTCCTGAACACTAAATGTGATTAGTGGAGAAACCCCAACAGGGGAAAAAAAGCAATAATTGCAAGTAAAAACTTAATATAGGAGCCGGGTTTTATGTCAACGGAGAACTCAGATAACAAGGCTAAATGTGTGCCCAGGAAACCAGGCAGGGGGTTCGTACCGCTCCAAGGTCCCAGTGCTGATGTCAGTGTTTGGCGACGTTTTCCCCCGTCCCCAGTGCTTCTCCTCGCAGCTTAACAAACTGCTCGCTGGAGCTTGGCTAATCCTTGGCTACAGCAGTGCCCAGTGATTTATCATAAAGTTAGTTAATTCGGGGAGAGCTGCAACATCCCACCGTACACACATGCCTTTGACAGATCCCTGCTGTCCTTGCTGCGGAGTCTGAATCGCCAATTAGTTTGAAGAATAGTTTGTGTGTGTGTTTAAGTGTGTGCAGGTCATTAAGAAACGAGGGAAGACAGAGTGAGAGTTTGCCTAGTCTATCAGAGAGAAACACAGGCACATTGTTCATTACATTGTGTCTGTATGCCATCCTGTCTCGTATGGACTTTGTGTGTGTGTGTGTGTGTGTGTGTGCGCATGTGTGTGAGTCAGTCCGTCTGTCTGTGCCCCCATACAAGTGTGATTCAACACTGTCCGGCCTCGCTTGAATGGGCGCCCTGTTTGTGCCCCGTTTCTGAAGCCAACAGCCGCTCTGCACCCCTCGCCTCTGCGCAAGTGTTGCGCCCTATGTGCTGAAACAACAGGTGCGCTTTTACACAATGACTTAATCCCTCTTTCCCATGCACCTCCCCCGCTGCACCCCGCTGGTAGCTGCTGCGTCACCTGTGGGCCTGGGGCAGCTCCAACGTGGAAATAAAAATCATGCATTAGTCAGACACACCTTGTTTTTTCCAGACAAGACCACACATACGTCGACAAATTGGGGCTTTTGTTCTCATAGCAGAACATTTGTAGAAACCTGGATTCAACACTAAAGCCAAGGTGGAGTGGGGGGGGAGAGTGGGAATGTCACTTACTCACTCTCTTAATAGAAAATAACTTCCTCAACCCCCTTTATTATCTAAATTGTGGCCCCTTTACTATCTTGTACCTAGAGTTAAAGGGGCACTCCACCAATTTTGCACATTTAATCTGTCCTGAGGAGTACTCCTCCGTTGTTCCTCTGGAGGGAGCTGTCTAAAGTTTGAAAGAACAACCCTGATGATGTCATCTGGGTTGTCTCTGATTTAACAGAACGCCTGCGTTACAAACTGAAGCAGTGGAGTTTGAAAGAAGTGGGCATTTAAGAGGGTCAGCTGGTGTTTAATGAAAGAGTTGAATTGCATATGGGAAATGTAGGATCCAGTGTTTTTGAAGATTGACCCATACTGTTCTAGGGACTGACGAGATATCTTGGGCTCTGCTGCTTCTATCTTCATCTGTCTCTCGTGAGAAACAGAAACAGTGACGCTCTTAACAGGTTTCATCGGGACTATTTTGTTGGTAGTTAGTTTTTTCAATGAATACCTCTAGAGGTAAGTGAGAAAGTATGATTTCCTGCAGTTTTTGTGAACAGACCCTTTAAGGTCCTGTTGGCTGAAGTTTCTCCGAGGCACAAATGAGTCCTCAGGGTAAACATTTGATTCTAATTACATTTCAATGTTGCACCAAACACATGTGCATGAGCACCTGTGTTTCCTTAGAAGTGTTCTATGTGGGAGCAGAGCTGTCGCCATCTGCATCAGTCTAGTCTGAGACTGACAGACTGGTAGGAAATACTATTGAGCTGCCGAGTCTGGGTGTTAAACCTGGCACCCCGGCCTCCTTTTCTTTTTCTCTGTCATTCTTTCCTAGCATTCCCACCTGCTAGTTTCCTTTCTGCCTCCATACCGCTGCTCCCCTTATTACCTCTCTTCTCCTGCCCCCCCCCCCCCCTCCTGTCCTTCGCTATCCTCTCCTTCGCTTTCTCCCCCCACCCCCTTCTCCCTCTCTCGTCTCCTCTGGACCTTGATGTCAAGGCCTCTCAGGCAGTGTGGTCTCTGTCTGCAGGCTGTCAGGGCAGGGACACTGCCCACTGGGACCCTGAATGGGACAAATTGACCGTAACAATGTTCCCACTTAGCATGTGGAGCCGGGAGAAAGAGAAGGTGAAAAGGAGGGCCTGATGATTGAGGGCCAGGCCAGCCACATTGGGGGAGATTGGTGGAGAGGGAGAGAGCAGGACAGCTCTTTGAAATGTATGAATTGAAGACTTACATTAAATCACACACCTCGCCTTTTTGAATCCTCTCCTCACACGTTCTCTCTGCACATGTACAGCTTTTATTGTTGTTTTTTGCCCAAGGCTAGTGCTGGGGTTGCCATAGCAGCAGGATAAACATGTTTGCCCGTGACCCTGCGGGCCTTTACACACACACACACACACACACGCACACACACACACACACACATCACTCTCAAGGCCCTTCCAGGGGGGTTCGTCAAGGTGCTACCGCTGCCTCACAAAGGGTCAAGGTTCATCCCGCACCCCATTACAATGCAATAAGGGCTATAGCCCAACGGGACCACCTCCGCCATTTAATTACACACCGCTGTCCCCCCCCCCCCCCCCCCATCATCTGGCTCTCTCGCTTTTATCTTTTAATCACTTGTTTTTCCAGTCCTGTCTTGCTTTCACTCTCATTTCTCCGCCTGCTTCATACATCCAGTGCAATGCCAAGGCAGCCAGAATAGATGAGAGAGTTCAAAGAAGGAAGC